TAAACCATTCTGTGATCCTATGATTCTATGATCAGTACTATCAACCTCTTTCATTTCATATCAAGGCCACAGCAGCAAGTTTTCTGCAGTTCATACCTGGGTCTGTCTCCAGCCAGGGCTATCAAGCCTAAATGTATCAGAAAAATTTCCCAATTTCAGGCTGACCAAATTTTTTAATGAATCATTGTGAAATGCATCTGATTATTTTGGTTGGAAAAAAACTCCTGTGCTTGGAGAAAGTCAAAATCCTTTAATATCAGAAAGGAAACGTTAAAATATTTAATTTCACATCGCACTTTGCTTTTGACCTGTAGTGATCTGTCATCTTTTGCCCCCTCAAGACATTTTTCAAAGATGTGCAGTTTGAGGCTGAGCAAATTCCTTTTGCATTTTTTTCTATGCTCCAGCACATGTACTCAGTCACCCGCACACCCTGCTCAGTCTTTGCCTTTCATTTCTTCCCAGCTTTACACAACTGACATCACGCTGCCATCACTATATAGTCCTGGGAAGCACTTTGGGACTCTCTGGAGATACGAAATACATTATTTAGCCTACATTCACACTATGAACAGTTGAATATGAAACCAGTTGTTATTGCACATGACGCTGCAGTATAAATCAGTCTACTGGGTCTGCTGGTAGGGGTGGAAATGCTGGGCCAAGAGAAGAAAGTAAGTTGGAAGAGTTCTCCCTAACCCAGAAGGACTGCCATCATCCTCAATTTTTGGATAATAGCCTGCTGCTTCCTGGCCATTGCTCTTGGATTTTATTTTGGATTTCATCTTGGGTTACATTAAATATTGATTTTCATCATTTTATTTTGCTCCTTATTTCCCTGCTTGCTGTGTTATCCAAAAGCCAACTCAGCTCACACAAGGTACAAGCAGCCAGGCACAGCATCCAGAGGATGATGGCCAACAGGAGCAAGAAGGGCAAGAAAGTGTGTCAAAAACTGGAGCAACGCTGGGCACTGAATGTGTGTGGAGAACAGAGAGATGAAATGAGAGCTTTGTATGTGCCGTGGATGACATGGGCATGTGAGGGAACAGCTAAATGGAAATGCATATTAAATTAAGGATGGAAATTCATGGTTTCAGCTCTACACATCCTGTCTCCAGAGAGGCAGAAGGATGGAGGTCCATGTGACATCCTCCCCAGAAAGCAACCTCCCCTTTGATAGTGGCACTACAAGCTCTCCAAGCAGACCGCAGGCAGTTGAGGACAGTCCTGTTCCCCCATCAGCCACCATTATCATGGACCAGTTATCAGAGTCACTGCTTTTTTCTCTCCTCTAACTTTGCTGTCGCCAATGGTTTTGGAGCAGATCAACCAACCAGCATCAATATACAATCAACCAGTATACCAATAAACAAGTCACTCAGAATAATTAGTAGCTACACAAATTATTTCTGTCTGGGTTGCAATCAGAAACCAGGAGTGAGCCCTTCAGCCAGGGGATGCAACCAACAGTCTACTCAAGGAACATGACTTAACCAGGTATGTCTGGTGCCAGGATGGACTTCAGCCAAAAAGATCAGCAAAGACCCTCCGCTGTAAGGCCCTCCACGTTCACTTCTCTTCATGCCATGGGGATGCTGCCACAAGCAACCCACTCATTTCATAGATGGGCCCTGGCGTGAGATAACAAATTTCCACATACAGTTCATAATTTTATCTCATTACCTGCAACATGTTGAGGAGCAGGCTCCGGAATTTGGTTCCTTCCACCATGAAGAGGGCCATTTTGTCACAGAGTTTGGCTGCCGTGGAAGCAAAGGTGCGGTCTGTCACTGCTTTCTGGTAGATGGTCTTGACTATTTCCCCCAGCATCTCCTCAGAGTTGGTAGAGTTCTGGGCCTCCTCCATGAAGGTGGTGAGCTTGGAATCAACATCGCTGCTGTTGTTCCTCATGCTGTTGAGAATTTCAATTAGTTTGTCCATTTTGTTCTTTTCAGGACTGGTGGTTTCTACCGTGACTTCGTCCTGGTCCGTGAAAAGGGAAAGACAAGGCATCTGTTACACAAGGAAAAAACAGATATATCAGCCCTTGTCCTTCCACAAACAGCAAAGGGGGAAGGGGATTGGGGAGACATGGAAACAGACATAGAAAAAGCAAAGCATCTTTTAGAAGCACAATGGTCTCATCTCAGCATTGAAAACCACAAGTGAATGAGTCCTGCCCCAGAAATGTTTTTTTCCATTTCCCACAGCACTCAATCCCGGAGTCCTCAGCTCAGGGCAAAGATGTGCTGAAGGGTTCTGAGCCAGGATGCTGTGGGTTGATCATCCCTGACTGCCCTTAGCATCTTGGGCAGGTTTCTGGGGGTGTCTGCAACATGGCGATAATGGACTTTTTTTGCATCTATTTTGAAAGTGCACTGATGTTTGCAAATGCTCAAATAACAATCCTACAAAAATATCTACTTTTTAATATATATATTTAACAATCTAAAATGAGATCAGAGATGTCACATGATCCCAGAGTTAGAAAAACTTTTCCATCTCTTGACTGTTATACTTCTTACTTCATGTCATTAACACAATTTATTGCTGCTTCTCAACGATTAATCATGCATTTGTCCCTTTCCCCCAGCGTAAGGCATACATCTTGCCTGCTATGGTCTGCTCCCTTCTCCTCTAGCTCAATTTTAAACCATGCTACACAATCCAAACCTCTACTCATTTTTTGGACAACCCCAATGCCAACTGCCAGTTGGAGTTATTCAAAACTTCCATCAGGAGACCAGTTGTGTTCACTACACACACCCAACAGCGGGTGCTTATGTGAAGTCTTTCTTATAAGACTATAAATTCACAGGGAGAGCATTAAAATGAATACTCTGAAAGTCTCTGCTATACTCCCATTGCTTTAAAGAACATAAAAATAACTAACAAAATCTCTTCCTCCTCCTCATGTCCCATACATAAATAGTAAATGCACATACATTCAAAGGTATACATTTCCAACATGCACTCCCATTGAATTGTAAATGTTCAGGTTATTTTTGCTACGCATTTTGGAAATCTCATTGGAGATACCCCCACAGATGCATTTTCCAGTCTGACCAAAGAATCTCAAGAGAAAGAATCTGAATTTCACAGGGGGCAAATGAATATATAATCTCTGAATTCCCCAGAAATCCGAGGCTAAATATTTTTTCCAAAAAGGACTTTTCCTCTGTCACTAGCATGCAATAGTTTTGTTATTGTCGGGGTGTTGGAAGGAAGGAGGAAAGATAAGGGTGTTTCAATTCATTGCTGAGACAAATGGATATCAACTTTTAAGAAGCTGACTCCAACTATTCAGCACTCGAAAGTCGAAGCTCGGGATTTAGCTCTGTAATTGTGGAGAGACAAATTGCCTTTTTAGACCTCTTTGCAAAGCAGATGAGCTCTGCAGACTGGGAGGCAGTCAGTTGGGACCAGACTTCCCCAAGGGTCTTTGCACTGGGAGAGTTCCCAGTCTTTGAGACCTCAAGTTGGTAGCAACCTCAACCAGGAAGTCAAGCTAAGAGCCTTAGCATTGTGTCAATAAAAGGCCTCCTGGATAAGCATGAAGAGACTTCAAGAGAAACGTTGACACAAGGAGATTAAGATAAATTGGGTGCATTCATGGAAAGGTCCCTTGAGCCCACTCCACCCCAATAACCAGACTCTTGGAAAAAGGGAAACTCAACATTTCCCTAAGAAATAATACCTTTTCTCTTAGTCTCCTCCGCAGCCTGTCTTTGGAAGACTGAAGCAAATTGATCTTCAGTCTTTCCCCAATGTGCTCATGAATACTGTCTTTCTGCTTGGTCTCCATCTCCTGGATGTACTGCTGAGACTGCTTCTCCACAACCTCCGGGCCTCGGTGCATCTCCACAGGAATATGCACTGTGCAGATGGAGGTGTCCTCGATTTTCAAATTTTCAGTCTCTTTGGCGTTTCTGTGCATTTCTTTGTCATTGGGCGAGTGCTTCTGGTTGTGGTGCCATCTCCGGTTCTGGCTGTAGCCATGGTGGCTCGTCCTGCCTGAGGAGTGAGGGGCCTGGCCTCCTTGGTAGAGTTTCTGGTGGTCCCTGTTGTGTTTAGTGCCGCCTTGCTGATGATCTGCGTGCTGCTGAGTTTTGTTCCCACCAGGAAGTCTCTGCTGTCTCCTGGAAAGCCAAAGGAAGTCATTAGTACACCCTTTCCTACATGGACACGTTTGGTCAACACATCTTCTGTCCCACTAAACAGTCTGGCTCTTGGTGGGTGGGTTCTGTGGAGCCAGGACCATTACCTCCAGACAGGAAGCTGGATGAATATGGCTCCAAGCAGATAACATGGAAATTCAACAGGACGAAGAAGAGAAATTGCCCACAAATGGTTTGCTTGAGAGACTACAGCAGCTCAGAAGGGGTAAGCAAGCCCCTGTGTGCTGGCTGTAACCAGTAGCTGAGATGGCAGGTCCCCAAAAAAACAATGGTTGAATGGAAGAAATGCTTTGGCAGCCTTGGACATTTCAGATTCCCACACGGGCTGCAGCATGGCTTTCCCCAGTGGAGAAGGCAGAGCTCGAATGCCATCATCAAGGATGCAATTAAGATGGAGACTGTCCCAGCATTGGTGGTCTTCACCCAGGATGGCACAGGGTTAGTCCTAAACATGGCAATAGCTCCCTGCCTGCCTTTTTAACACTCAGTATTGGCTCCGGGAGCATGTGGGATGCTTTAACACTCGGCTCCTTACAAGGGACATCTCTCCAGCATCATCCCCTGAGACAAAACAACCGTGAGTGCTGTGGTGACCACACCAGTCTGCATCCATACTGGTTTTGTAGCCATTATAATCCCCCTGCTCAGCCTCACCCCTTACCCGAAACCTCAGCCTCCATTTAGATAAATAGCAACATTTATTTTAAACCCATTGCATAGCAATTAATTTTCTTTTCATCACCTGCACCGCTCGGCTAAATACATTCAGACAAAGGAAGCGGTCATTCACAAACACATTTCAATGGTCAGTGGCTAAATAGTCTCCGACCCTGCCTGCCAAAGCCATCTGCCCATTAAATCTGTATTCCTTGGCACCCCCAGGAGTTAAAAACCTATTTTCTGAGGCCAACTGGCTCTTAACCAGAGAGCAAGGACTCGTGTTTGGTGAATGCAGGACGAGGAGGCTTGTTCATAGTGGCAGTGGAAGGAATTTGTGTTTAGTATCAGACCACCAGATCCAGTTTTCTGAGATATTCAACATGTTTTTGGGGGTTTTTTTGCAAGCTGAATGGCAGGGAATTAAAAAAATTCTGAGTACACATTCTCCACATCAAGTTTTCCAGGCATTTTTTGTTTTCCTCTCTGTAATGCAATCACATAAACCACTTTGTTAATAGCAACACTTATTAAAAGGGGAATGTCAAAATAAAAGTTAGTTCAAACCCTTATCTAGTTCTGAGCCCTCACATGCTTAAGTGTGCAAGAGTTTTGCTGAGAGAATTCAGCATTTGTTTTCTGTGTTTTTGCTCTTTTCTCCTTTCAGACATCCGAGTTGTTTAACTGTTTGGGTGCACGTTCACCCTTGGGTTACAAGTCAGACAGGCTGCTACTGTAAATAAGTTGCAAATACTGCACAGAAATGACCAAAGTTGCACACAGACACAGCTTTAATTTAAGCAGAGGTAAGGCAAAACACCTGGAAATGAGGTGTTCCTGCAAGAAATGCACACGGGGCATTTTTTTCCTAAAGACATAATGATATCCTAAACCACACTGTTTCTGTTTAAGGGTTGTGAAAGAAAATAATAAAAAAAGGTTTAAGGTTAATCCCCCCTCCCCAAATAACCCACTTAAGCCAATTTGGAATGTGCAAGATTGTTCGGTTTGGAGGTTTTGCAATGAGACAGGGAGAGGACAGGCAGCTCTGTCCCTGTACAGGACAACATCTCCATGGCCAGGGGCCGAGCAAACACAAACTGAAGCTCTGCAGTCACTGACCACAGGATGGAAAACACCTGAGTTAAACAAGTTAGGAAAAAAAATTGCAAGAAATAAAAGGCAAAGGGAGGAGAATGTCAAAGGAGAAGCAACGTCCATGACTTGGAAGCAGGCAGGGGTCTAGACGATCATCCAGCATTCAGGCAAAGACTTGTTCTGTACTTTTATCTTCCCAACACCCCAGCGAAGGAAAAAAGACAAGAAATAGGACTCTGCAGTGAAGAGCCAAAGCAGGGAGAATGGGGCCCAGATCTTAAAACTTTTTTGACTGCACAGCATCACAAACCTGGGGAGGTTGAAATGTCCCATGCTTGTTCTCAAGTGTGACCAAGGAGCTGGGGACATGAAGATTCCCCAAGAAAGGGCAAGAAGGGCACCCTATCACATGTGCCCGCTGTGGGTTGAATTGATGGGAAACAACCTCGTGCCTGCTTGAGGGCAGGAGAGCCGTGATGTAGGAGAGACCATGTAGGAACCCAAAGGCACTTCCCAGCCCAGGGTTTTAGGCTCATGATGCCAAAGGGAGGAACAGCTGAAGCTCAAATCACACAGCAACATCTCCAAGAAAAAGAAGAATTCACCCCAGAAAAATGCCATAGCTCCTAGGAAAGCCTTCTTCTGTCCCTCTCTGCTCATCCTTTGCTGTAAGGACACAGTGCCTTGCAGGCAACCCTACTTCAGCTACAAGAGAAAGTATCTAGACGGCACAACAGTCTCTTATCTCTTGACTCTGTTTAATGTTAAATAACTATTTTTCACCTCAAAGGCCAAATTCTGACTCAGCTTAAAACTCCTCCTGACTTCAGTGAGACCGGGGATTTGGCCATCAGTCAACATGGAGACTAAAGAGACATTCAGAGTCACAAAAACTGCAGAAGAACTAAAAACCAAAGGAAGACACTCAGGGTTGCCAAGCTGGAAATAGGATGGTATCGCTTCTGCTATCACTTCTCAACTGATTTTTTTAAATTAACCAAACGAGATACCTTTCAACAGAATTTAGATCGGACACATGTCTGCTATGTCAGAGGAGCCTATGCAAACAAATCTAAGACTTCAGCTGTCTTGGTGATTACCAGCCTACGTGCTCAGAAATACAAGATTCCTGCAAGTTTTTACTACATTGTTTGCTCCCAAGGAAAAGGGCTGGAAGGCACAAGGCTGGGGAAAATAACTCCAGACATGAGGACAGCTGTGGTCTAAAACACAGTTGCTCCATCCTGTCAGCCCTGCTCATATCCCCCCAAGCAAGACAAGTCCTCTGAGAGCCCCCACCATTTGTCTGGCATGTGGAGAGCTGGAGGACAACATGGGGTTACATTCTCCTGGTGGTTGCATGGAGATTTAGTTAGGAGCTACATCTCCAACAGCACTTGAGACATTTACCCCATGGTACAGAGCATCCCATACAGCCAAACAGACTGAGATCCTGTCCGTGGGCTCAGGGATGGGGTGTTCTGGACATCCTAGTTCTTGCTTTTGAAGAACCTGCCTGGACATCATGCTTGTCCTTAATCCCAGACAACTCTACCATGGGATAAACCCTCCTGGGCACGCTAAGCCCCTCACAGGGGAGGGATGTTGGTTTTGTCCTGCTTTCATGCAGAGCCTGATACCTGGTGGGCATGGCCAGGGTCACCCAGCAATGAACAACCAATATGGACTTGCAGCCACTGAGGCCAGAAGTTGAGAACAAAGAGTGATGTTGTGGCCAAGTTCAAACAAAATGGACAAAAATGCCCATCATCACTGGCTTTGGGCACCTAAGGGATCTCGTGGCCCAAACCTGAGGACCTTAAGGTATCCCAATTAGGAGCTGGTGGAATTTTACAGCATCTGAAACTGGTCCTGGAGGTCTAATTCTACACTGGGAGGTCAACAGGAATATTGCTATTAATGTAACGAGGAGGAAGGTCTGAATTTCTATTCTAGAGGCCTGGCTTCCCCCAAAAGTATTCTCTACCAAGCCTACCTCCGTCGAAGGCACTCTGAAGTTTTACATGGATGTATAATGATAACTCAGCATTGCTTTAGTGTAGGGAGCATCACAGCCCTGCCACAGCCATTTTCTATCCTTGCTATGATCAAGAGTGGCAAACACTCAAATAAGCTTGACAGTTCCACACAATTTAATCAAAAACTTCAAAACCCCACAGAAAACAACCACCACCAGCTCCAAGGATGAAGAATACAGCACTTCTGTCTGTTTTCCCTTTGGCTTTCTCTCTCAAACTGGTTTCACTTGGCTCCAGTTTCATTTTTGTTGGCATTTTTCTCAGCTGAGAAAGGAACAAGATGTCATGTTCACTCCTGAAAACAAAAATGAAATTATTCACACTTCTTTCATGCTTTTCTGTCACTGGGGCTAAAGTCTATCCTGATCACTAGACCCAGCCCACATGTCTGGATGGATACAGCATTTTGGAAGCATAGAAAATCCACCTATCAAAATGGTGGTGATCAGGACCTAAAATAATCTTTGAACAGTTGCGATCTAATGTGTGCTTTAGGTCTTACACATACACATCCTTGAAAACATACAATGAACTCCAGAGGACGAACACAGCAAACAAAAACAATGCTGTGAGGATAGAGATGTTTTAGATGAGGCTCACAGCATCTGGCTGCTGGGAAAAGCATCATGAAACCTTCAGATGAGCCGCCCTACCTGAGAACAACTCCTCATCACCTTGGTCTTGGGGTATGGCTACTGCAGACAACCGTCCCTTGGGCATGGACATCACATCTGTCTTTTCTTGCTAGAGATGATCTTGTTTGGCCTTTACAACACAACTAGAATCACTACAAACCAACAGGGTAGCTTTGATTTTTACACTGGGGGTGGTGAAACATGGGCACAGGTTGCCCAGGGAGGTGGTAGATGCCCCATCCCTGGAAACATTCAAGGTCAGGTTGGATGGGGCTCTGAGCAACCTGATCCAGTTGAAGATGTCCCTGCTCACTGCAGGGAGGTTGGACTGGATGACCTCTAAAGGTCCCTTCCAACCCAAATCATCTGATGGTTCTATGGTTGAAGGACTTCACACATAGACACCATGAAGGTGTTTACACAATAGCATCTCCAAAAAACCCCATACTTCATCATGGGATGGACTATCTTCTGCTATGGGATGCTGACTGATTTGGCCTTTCCAAACAGAGAAGCAGTCCTGATTTCTCCC